TCGATCAACAAGTGATCATTTTCAAGAGGAAGATCAAACTGCTGTATCCAGTTTCACAGCTGCAGCAAATAGTTTTGAGCAATATTTCGAGAATTAATTCCTTTTCTGTAAATTTGGGCATGATGTTGCTTCCAGCATTGCTGTCGTATTGGCCAAATTTGACAAATTTTTGACGTCTAATAATGAATTTTTTTCTTTCTTTTTCCTGCAAATTCAGATGTTACGCAACCTTTAAAACAATGCAGAAATTCAACGATATTTTTGAAAATTTCGTATTTAACACCATTAGACGTAAATAGCTCAAAATTGCACATTATGATGAAAACAATTTTTGGATTAGAGTTTTTTCTTTTCTTTTTTGTTATTTCTGAGAACATTTACCGTAATAACGTGGATTTTTTTACACTATCAGAAAATAAAAATTTCAACGAACAAAAAGAGCATCGAATTTTTTAAAGAATCAGATATTTTGACACGTGAATTTTCGATTGAAAATTAGAGTGTTTTTTCGGTATCAATTCAAAGTAAGGTGGAAAAATAAATATTTCAAGTCCAAAAAATTACAGTGTGTTTGATACTAAAAAGGTGAGTTTTCACCATATTTTGTGAAAAAAAAATGTAAAAGATGAAAATAAAAAACCAAAAATTTGGGTATTTGAATTTTTCACGTAAATTTTGAGGTTATGTGAAAAGATTGTAAATACAAAAGTTATACATCTTTTTATTACCTAGAAATTTGTCATTTAACTTTTTATTAACGTTAAGTTAGCCACAGATTTCTTGCCACATTTTCTGATGTAGGGAAACTTTAATGTGGGATAGAGGAACAAACACAGGCGGTGTTGTCAGTCAACATTTCTTATAGTAATTGGAACTATTCACAATATATGTGACCTATTCATATATTTCGAATGGCAACATTTTTTTGAGTTTTACAAAAATTAGTCAGTCAGTAACAAAAGTATGGCTGGGTAATTAGTACCACAAATAATGTTTCGTCAGAAAATTGAATTAAATGTTCAACTTAGAACATATCACAGTTTACATATACGTGGATTAATCAATTTGTTTCACCAAAATCAACAGAAAAATATTTTTGAAGGCACTAGTAGCAATCCATTTAAAATGTCAAAAATTCTTGAAAATGAAATTTTCAGAGAGGAGTCCATTAACACTAGACAAAAATATTTTTGTGGAGAGCATGTGGTTCTTAAAGTAGTCATATTCATTCATATAGGTAACTGCTTTCAGGATAGGAAAACATTTTTCTCACTATAAACTTTTCTGATGGAGGTCCGCCGCCACCGATTAAAAAAAGTGTGAAAGAGCATCTGAGAACATTCATAAAACTGCCTTCAAATTCATTTGGATGGCCGTAGGAGACTTGGAAAAAAAACTTTTTCTCCTATTATGAAATTTCCATATAGAGGTTCGCTGCCACTGAACAAAAAATACCGTTGAAAAGAGGATCTTGAAACATTCATGAAACTGCTTTCAGATTCCTTTGGATGGCTATAGGAGACATGGAAAAAAATAAAAACTTTTCCTTCTACTATGAAATTTTCTATATAGAGGCTGCCACTGAACAAAAAATACCGTTGGAAAGAGCATTTGAGAGCATTTATAGAACTGCCTTCAGATTCCTTTGGATGGCCGTAGGAGACTTGGAAAAAAACTTTCATTCTACTATGAAATTTCCAGATAGAGGCCGCTGCCACTGAACAAAAAATTCTGTGACAAAGAGAATCTGATAACATTCATAAAACTACTTTCAGATCCCTAAAGATGGCCGCAGGAGACTTGGGAAAAAATAAAAACTTTTTTTTTTGCAATTTTAGTTATTTTCATCAAACTTTATACGCAGTATACCCGTACAGACTTCTTCTAAACTGAGCATTATCGAACTGCTTATTCAATCCAAATTAAAAAATATTGTCAGGTTTAATTATTCAATTAGAAAGTGCTACATTTCGGAGTTTGTAAAAAAAACAATTCGGAGAAGTACTATGTTATTTATTAGGAAAATATACATATAAAAAATTGAACGAAACAACTATTACAACTGTTCAAAGTGACGACCCCCAACAGTAATACAAGCTTCTGCGCTCCTCATCAAAGAATTCCGCACCCGTTGAAAAATGCCCAGAGCGTTTCTTATCGTTTCGTAGCAAGCTATGATGCGATCCCTCAACATTTCCTCGTTTTCAATGGGCTAGCATAAATTAGTGATTTTAGGTGTCCCCAAAAGGAAAAATCGACGGGATTGAGGTACGGTGACCTCGGGGGCCAATGCTCAGTGCCTCCTCTTCCTATCCATCGTTGGGGATATGCTATGTCTAAAAAATTTCTTGCTATCACACTAAAATGAGCAGGAGCTCCATCGTGTATAAACCAAGAGTGATTTCGGAGACCAATGGGAACATCTTCCATAAGTTGTGGAAGCTCGTGTTCCAAAAAATGTAGGTAAGGATCACCATTCAAACGTAAGGGGACAAAATAGGGCCCAATTAAATAATCCCCAATTATGCCTACCCATACATTAAAAGAGAGTCTGTCTTGGAAATGAGTTTGCGTTATCGCATGTGTGGTTGTTATGGAAGTTCATGATACCATTTCTTGAAAAATTAGCCTCATCTGTGAAGAGGATTATCGATGAAATTTGCGGGTGTTGTTCGACTTTTCTTTGAAGCCATTGAGCAAATTCGATACGTGGTTGGAAATCACGTAGCGTAAGTGCCTGGACACGCTGAATATGATAAGGATATAATTGCTGTTCGTTTAAAATTCTGTAAACTGTCATGTGACTCACATTTAAAGTTTGACTAATTTTTCTTGTACTTGTCTCTGTTTCAAAGCTTCCAGATTCGGAAAGTCGCCGAAAAAGATTTGCAAATGTCGCTGCACAAGGAGTCACGTGTTGAGGATACCTTTCCTGATAGATGCGTCTGGCCTCGCTTGAAATTCCGTCAGCCAATCCATATGCAAAAACCATATCAGCCATTTCAGCATTCGTAAAGTCGGGCATGGTACCAAAAAATCACTTTATAAACTCTGAACTGTGAATTTGTCAATCAGTAGTTAAAAATGTGACAGCGAATTTCTGTTTTTATAAACAAATGTTCATAGCCTACTCGATTTAATAACTTAATTTGCAAGCGGAGAGTGACAAAAATTATTGAAATCATAAGTAATATGCATCGATATAGAAAATTGTAAATGTCTCGAAAACGATCACCTTCAGCGTTGTTGAGGAGGTGTACCTTTTTTTACTTGAAAAAGGTGTGGGAATTAGGTTTTTTCATGAAAAGTACCAGATTCTTCAAAAGTTGAGACAAATTGATTTAAACTGTCAATTGAAATGCGTTTTTTTCTGGAACACTGTCTTCAATAAAAACAACATTTCTGCTTTTTTGGATAAATTAAAAGATAAGCCTTAGAATCCTGGTAGTATCCAACAAAAATAATTTCCTTTGATTTCGTTTTGACGTTTTTGTTTTGGAATATACATACAGACTATTAATTTCACTGAAAAAATCAGCAAGGTACGCCATCTTTGCTACAAATGTTTGGTCTTTGATTTTTGCACGATATTCTTTTTCTTTTCGTGTTCTCTGATTTTCAAAAAACAATCCAATTTCTTCTCGTAGTTCGTAAACCCTACTTAGAACTTTCCCTCTTGATAAGCAACGTACCTCTGTATGGTACAAAAGAGCATTATATGTAGCACCAACTTCATTGCACAACATTTTGAATAATCTTTAGTCCGTAGTGCTCCGTAGTGCTGCCTCGAATGTGATTGACAACTTATGTAGCCAAATCTGGTGGAGTGGTGGAAGTCTTCACGGCCAAAGGGTACCGGTGTATCAAGCAATGATAGTCGAAAACTTGAGGAGCAACTTGTTTCACGAGTGCTTGAAATCCAGAACGGATGCCCATCATGAAAGGCGCCCCATCTGTACAAACACCAACCAGCTATAACCAGTCCAGGCCATTTTCCTCAATAAACTCTTTTAGCGTTTGAAATACGTCTTCGCCGCGAGTAGTAGTGGGCAAGACTTGCAGAACAAATATTCCTCCTTTACATCATCATATTTAATGTATCGTGTAGACACCAATAATTAATAATAATAAACGCCGGCCCGGCAGCCGCCGCTAGCCACAACGAAGCCGTGCTTCACCCCTCCCACACCGTCGCTCTACCCGTCGTCACCGTCAGCCGCGCGTATAAGAGCGTCGTGCTATCATACTATTATTTTGTTTATTATTTTAATACTTTTTTGTGGCAACTCTGTTACCCCCTATAATTGCCGTTTTACCCCTGCGGGGGTAATTACCCCCAGGTTAGGAAACACTGAGCTAAACCATTTTATTCTGGTGTATAAGGGGTTGTGTTTTAATGTTGAATCCTAGATTTTGACAAAAATTATTCAATGGATTTCCGGGGCAGCAGTTTGACCATTAAGTAGCTTTAATATGAAAATCAGTTCAAGTTTTTTCTCCTTTTATTCGATAGATTTAAATTAAGGATTTTCTAAGATGTTAGTATCATCATGCTTAGTAATAGGTATGTCCTTATAAGTACAATAATCAGATTTGATCGTGACCAAATCCCGGTTTGAATAATTGCCTTCAAAATTGACGAAGTTATAGTTTTTGATAATTCAAGAGCATGTATATATTATTTCAGATAACGAACAGATTTTTATTTTTGTTTCAAGGCATTATAACTCTCTTATATTTTCACCAGCTTATATTCAACATTGGCAATAAATTTTTCTTGAGAGAAATGGTCTGTTAATGAAATATTGTCTAACAGAAACTCTCTTCAACTGGTAAATTGAGACAATTTCATTTTACGATTTGTTTTTTCATTAATTCCACTTGTTAAAAATAAAAAGTAAGGAATAGTAAATAAATAATAAATAATATTCTCATACAGAAACAAGGACAATCAAACCCATTCGAATCATTGATCAGAAAAAAAAACCTTTTATTTTCAGATCTGTCGCTTTTGCTGGCATAGAATTAGAACGGATGAAAATGGGTTATGTCCAGCCTGTCGAAAAGCATATTCGGAAAACCCTGCTGACTTCATACCGTTGTCCCAGGAACAGGTAAACATGATTTAAGTCGGTTTTTTCTTTTAGTTTTCAGTTTAATAATCGTGAATGTTTTATATTGTTTATATAATATAGTTTATATTTGAATTGAAAATATTGTATGTAGACTGATTCTTTGGATATCATATAAGCAAAGCATAAAATTACTTTTGGATAGTCACTGGTTTTCCTAATTTCCATTATTGAAAATTGATATTTCTTCAGTGAAAACATAGTTTTAATGACAAATTGAATTTAAACTGCTGAAGCTTCAAGGGTGTTACAAATAGATAATTTTTACCATTTGAATTCAGTTTTATCTATTAATTTTCGTATTGTTCTTGCTCGTGTTGCTTGCTCTTCAGCCTGTCCACTCTGATAAATAATTATTTGGACTGTATTTTATTCATAATTCTTAATTCTTCCTATATACAGGTAGCAAAACTAATTTCCTTTCATTTATTTCAAGTGGATATTTACATAATTTCCTGTATTCCTTATTTCGGTAACAAAATATGTATATGATCTTGGTTAAGATTTCACATCGAATTTATTTTCATTAGGCCAATAGGCTCATAAAATGCATTATTAATGAAGTAACCTCATGGATATCTGTACAAATTAGTACAGGGAACATGATTTTTGGAATAAGTGTCATGAAAAGAAGGGATAAAATAAGGATTAACCTTTTAGGCTGTGGTGTTTTACAGAGACTTGGAAGAAATCTACAAGGTAGATGGCTCCCAAGTAGCAAATAAACCTGTAGAGTCGACTTGATAGTTTGAAAACTCCATGTTTCCAAATATTTCAACTGCATGGTTATAACAGATGATAACTTGCATAGTCTTGGCCCCCAGCCAGGCGAAAGTGAGGTAGTCACTTTTCAGTTGTAAAACTTTTGCGCTGAAATAAGTGTATGTGTTTCGCCATACAATAGCTTCCTCAAGCTTGAGCTATAGTGAAAATCATACAATAAACTGTATTAATTAGTTTTTCAATATGGATGTTCATCAAGCATCGGCCAGTTGTATTAAATTATTAATGAATGAAACTGTAAATTTATATATGCTTCCTATGATTTGATGATTCAGTCAGTAAATTATTGGAATGGTATTTCATAATAGAACTCGCTCCAAATAAATATATGTCACCTAAAGCACTGTGTTTTAGGTGGCAAAGTTGAAATCGGAGAAACGCCACCGTGACCAACAACGCAAGGCCAAGCTGAGTGAGAGTCGAAAACATCTGGCTAGTGTTAGGGTAGTACAACGGAACCTAGTATTTGTTGTGGGACTGCCAATGAGGCTAGCCGACGCTGAAGTACTCAAACGTCATGAGTACTTTGGAAAGTTCGGCAAGATACATAAGGTAGTCATTAACCAGTCAACATCATATGCTGGGTCGCAGGGGCCCAGTGCAAGTAAGTAATTTTTTCATTAGATTTTTTCAATGAATGTTATAATTTTAGCCAGCTTGGAGAGAAAATGAAATATGCTGAACATACAACATGAAAGAAATATATTTAATTATCCAAATGTAAATATTCAATATGGTTTCAATTTATAACTTTCACCAATTTCCCCTATACATGTATCATGAGGTGTTTTCTGGTGTTGAATAGTATTCAGAAACAATTCCGCCTATTGTAATTGAATCCAATAATACCCAGAATTCAAGGTAGAATCAGTTTGCTTCAAATAAAATGTCGCTTCAAATTGAATATTTATTTCATACTAGCCTCTACTTGAAACACCAACATAGTTTTGAATCATCTTGCATTTCAAATTATAGTTGATGTTATAACATCGTTTCAATGTGAAAATGATAGGAAAATTGTAAATGAAAATATCTCAAAATTATCATTACATGTGCACTACTTTTTTTGGCATTGATGTATTAACGACATGATTCTAGTCTTCTTATGAAAGTTGAAGACGATGAAGTTGAATTGTGGTAAGTGAACCCTGCTCTTTATTCTCATTAGGACCACTGCGGGTCAAGGTGAAATAAATAGTCAAAGTAATCTATGCAAGGTAACGATTAACTTAATTTTTCATTTACAATTTTACTATCATAGTACATAATATTTTGTAATTAGGTACCCTGTACATTCTCAATGTGTAATATTCATTTCTACCAAGGAAGCTAAGGTGTTATCGAAACTCGTCTAGCGATAAAAGATGTGAGTGTTGTTCAATTATTATCACCGATAATGTTATTGATTTTCAATAAATTGATGGATGTAGCCGTTACTACGTGGTAGGAAATCATAATGAAGAAAAGAGAATTGAAACTTTATATATTTTTTACCACTTTTATTTGTAACTAACGTTACTGCAGTTTCGTCCTATAAGAACATTTTCAAACTTATACATTAGTGAGTTTAATGTATAAGTTTGAAAATGTCCTTATAGGACGAAACTGCAGTAACGTTAGTTACAAATGAAAATGGTAAAAAACATAGCAAAGTTTCAATTCTCTTTTCTTCATTATTGATTTTCATCAACAGGTCAGTCCATTCATAAAGATAATGGAGTTTATGCTGTATTTATTGGCATGAAGAAGAAGTTTACCCGTTCCACACTTGCATGAAGTTGTTCAGTACAATTTTAATTTTTTGAGATTGAGTTAGGTAAGAAATGTTAAAAAAAATAAATAAATTCTCCAGGAGAACGAAGTTCGTCCTACCTACCATTGGAAAAACTATGGATATTATACTCTTCATAATTCTTCAGAGTGTGTAAACAAATATACCAAGCTACACAGAGTATTGTCCACTGAATTATTTTAGAGGTGTTTCATAAAATTATTCATTATTAGCATTTCTGAAGTGTCAGGAAGTTCATTGAAAATTGTATCCCCTGCCATGTTTGTCTTAATGTGATCAACTCTGTAACGTTTCATTTTTCACTTAATTGATTTTTAGTCCATTTGCAAGGCAATGTGATCAGGATGTAAATCTCCTGCGTTAATTTATGTTGATGAACTTGTAACATGCCATTTATTTAATGAAATATTTTCACAGATATACCTCTACACAGTTTGCAGCAGTCCATTGGATATGTCCTAGGATTAATTTAATTTTACAAGTGTTTAAGACCGATTCAATATGTGTTTTCATTTATAAATTTCAGGGTTAAAAAGTCATAATACAAAAAGTCAAATTTTTCTTCTCATATTTCAAGGCAGATGACATAATCGCTCAGAGAAAAACCCAGTAATCCAGAAAAGATAGTTTTGCGCTTGATCACTGATCAGCTTGCTGTTGACATTCGTGACTGGAATGAAATGGGTGACAACACCTGTTCAACCTTGAACGAAATCTGAAGTAATGTCAAAAATCAATAATTAAATGTTATGTTCTTCCCATTCTGTTTCTAGCGTTTATCAGAAAACGACGTATCGATTATTTATAAAGTTTTTCTGCAAATAATCACATCTTCATAGTTTCGACCAACGTTTAAGGTAGATATACTCAATATGCATTTTGGAAATTAATATCAAGAAACATTCAGTAATTATTTGAATTTTATTTTTTGTTGACATATATTGAATAAGAGGTCTATTTTTTTACAACACTTTTTCTTTCTTTTTTTGTACTATAGTTCTGCCAGATAAATAGATTTATTGGACAATAACAAAGTTCAGATAAATAAATTTATTGATGAATAAGTAAATTCAGATGGAGAAATTTAGATAAATAAATTTACATAAATAACTTTATTAAAGAAAATTTACTGATGTAAATGAATTTACTGGAGATAGTAAAAGTAATTGAGCCTGAAAATTCCTTGGGTAAGAATTTGAGAATCAGATTATTATTAAGGAGACAACTCAACTTGCTGCACAAGTAGATTTATTGAAGAGATAAATTTATATTTGTTTGAAGATCACCTGAAGGGGCATATTTTTGTGGTAACACATTTACTGGCTGAATTAAGCACAGGATAGGTGGATGGACTACTGGACTGCCAACTGTGGAGAGGACAAGTCAATTCTATTATACTGTAGCTGAGTCAACCTTGGGTCATTGTGGAATCTATAACAACTGTATTAACGAGATTACTGTAAGGTTAAATGAATTTAACTGAAGGTGAGGTACTGTAACTAGTTATTCTTTCGACCAAGGAACCAGCGTTTATATTATTGCCCAACGTTGCAACGTTTTTGAAAATATTTATTGCTGTTATTTATTATTTGAAGATAGTTTGTCTACAGAGACTGCTATCGAAAAGGATTATTAGAAACTGTGATTTGCGGTAGATGGGCCCCTATAAGATCTCTATATCTTATTCTTTTCGATACCACCCATTTGAACTTCCAAAAAGCCAAATAGCTTTTGTCTTAAAGTTCCACGCCCTTGCCTCTGCATGCTAGAGCTGGCTGTATCCATTGTGGCATATAAAATTTAAAAGAAACGTTATAACTCTAAAACTACCAAACAGATTTTCAAACGATTTTCACCAATAGACGGTTGATTGAAGAAAAAAGTTAATGTGTATAATTTATCAATATTTGATGGGAAATTGTTGAAATATGACGATGTAATCTGTGAGAAGTTGGGACCTTGATGCTAAATATGACGATGTAATCTGTGAGAAGTTTGGGCCTTGATGCTACTGGTGCATGATAGCATACATGAGTACATGCTTTCATAGAAAACCCTGAATAATTCTTTTGAAATGTAACAAAACAATTGAGAGCATGTTTTTTGAAGGTCTACAAAAAAAGACCATTGCAAATGTATATCTTTTAAAGACAAATTACTTCACCTGTTGTGACAAATTAATGAATTAACTGTTTTAAACAAATTTATTTTCAACAATATTTCAATAATCACAAACTAATGGTCCAATGATTTTATTGGACCGCACGGGACATATTTCGGTGTATCCTTTCCGAAGCTCTGGTCTATCAGATATATTCCTCACAGTCGTAAGGGGCTGTGGAGAAACAATCTTTAGAGTCGTAGGGGGCTGTAGAGAATCAATCATTCCTCAGAGCCGTAGGGGACTGTGTGGCATGGTTAAGTTGTTAGAAACGCAAGTTTCTAAATGTACAGAACAAACTAATTTATTTATTACAACACTTAGCAACTACCGCTTGATTTATTTCCACTATTTGAATTTCTTGTTTAGCCGCTCAATTCACTTTCTGAACTGCCCTCTTGGGTCGGGAAGACGGGCATTTTCGGTAAAGTTTCTTTCGAGATTTCTGTAGTCTGTTCGGTACTAGAATTTTACCGGCGGTTCCCGACTGCATTCTTTTGAGGTGAGGTCATCTGTTTTTTTGATGAGTCGGCGGGCGTATCGGTCAGGGGCGCCTTCAGATTCGTTACATTGCCCCCTTCTTAAAGACGTTTCGCTACGAAATGTCACCCTTAGCGTGTGTCGATACCTGCAGACTCTCCATATCTGCACTGTGAAGTTCCATGGAAGTAACACTCCACAGACTTTATGCTCGGTCGTGGAAGATGGTTACCGCATACCAAAATCTTGATGCTACAGGACCTGAATATCATTTCCAACATGCTTCTAACATTTCTCCAATCCAGCCTGTCGAGCTCAGAGGCTAATTTCGGGATTGCCAAGTCCACAAGAAATTTTCCATCAAGTAGAAAATCTTTCTTTGGTCCTTCTTCAAGTGTTGCACTCCTCCGACTTCTGGATTCTGTTCTCGTAATATTTGGAGCTGACCGAATTTCTTGTTGAATACCACAGCGATATTCCTGGACATTTGGAGATTTCTTGAGAAAGCTACTGTGCTAGCGAAACATGTTATGATATTTTTTTCAAATAAAGTTTGTGGAGATCAAATCGTGAGTTGTAGTTTTTTTAAATTACTATGGATCTTCCTCAAGTAACGGCCGAATCAATCAAAAAATTTGGAGATCCTCTGCCAAGCAGTGAGCTAGTGCGTAATCAACTGGAACCTTGAAAAGATCTCGTGGCTCTTATTGAGTTACCCCATGCAAGGGCGTCGCCAAGGGGGGGCAGGGAGGGGCAGCTGCCCCCCCCTCCCCCCCCCCTGCGCCATCGGCTGGCGACGCACTTGACCCCATGTACGACTTTCTGTCCATTCGAGTATAAAGACGTGAACTTCTAGAACGTTATTTTATCCTCTGATGGTCTGAGGGCGTGAACTTAGTCGTGATTTCCAGCATAAGGAGCAAATCTATTAAAATGGACGACCCTAGGCTTTCCTCGAGGTGGCTTATGGATTTGGTAGACGAGGTCATTTATCTTCTTCATGATTTTGTACGGACCTTCCCACGAGGTTAGGAGCTATCACAAAATTAAAAATATCCTGCAAGAAAATTAATTCAAACGGCCTCACAAACCAATGTGACACATTAAAGAAAGCTTACAATTGGATTAGTTTTGTTTTACATGGTGAATTGGTATTGTGTTGTCTTTAGAT